CCAGCAATGAGAAAATGTTATTGTCTCACATAAACTTTTATATTCTGACAGAAGAGTGGCATAGAGTTTAATTGTGCCAAGGACTTGAGATTTTTAAGTTGAACTAAATAACTGTGGATCAGAGTATCAGACTCCGGCAGGATGCAGTTGGAAGGACTTTTTATCTCTCTGGTATCACCTGAGGTTCTAAACTTAGTATATGAATGCCAAGGGCCATGTGGAAATTTGACAACATTCCAAAACACTAATGTGTGCAAGAGCTCTTCAAAAAAATGACATCAATATAAGTATCATATTCAAAGCAAAAAAAAACAATAAAATTCCATCACTATGATGCCCAATCTGCAAACTTTTTACAATGATAGTACCTTTCAGCAGCACACACAATCTGACAGGCTGGGACATCAGCAAATATTTCAGGTTAGGTAAGCAGGCATGAGGAGGCAGCACATATATACAGAGGTGATTGGAGTTGATGAAAGCTATTCATCCGGTTCAGATTTCCAAAAAAAAGGACATTACCACCGTTTAACATGCAATTCGACCAGGGGGAACTTACTTGTGCACTTGCAAATGCTTAAGTTGGTGTGATCCTCAACCTTTGGCATAAACTTTGAAATACAATCATTATAGTTTGTAATTTACTTGTAATTTACTTGTGATGTAAATACTATATCATTCTCAAATGTAATCTTAATATCAATTCAGATGCTAAACAGTTACTCCATAAAACATTGTTCTGAAATCCAAATAAATTCTGAGATAACATTCTAAGAAGCCCTTATACTTGACCCCCTCATACCTGGACCTTGCATTAACATGACAAGAAATAAAGAAGATTCAGCAACAGCAGACAGGACTTCCTAAGGTGGTGCATGCTTCCTTACCATGTGACCAAGAAAAGAAAGATGCAAGGAAGTGGCAACTAAACTTGAAAAATATGCCCACACTCCTAAAAAAGGAGGATCTTAGTAAATTGTCTGAAATCACCTCCACTCTAAGCCTTCAATCCACCAGGTGCCTGATCAATGTTCTTTGTCGATTTACCCTGCCAGCCCTTGCTATTGCACTAGCAGTGCAGACAGGAGAACCCACTCTACAAAAGGTTTTGATTGCCTTTATCCAAGGAAATTCCTCCATAACTAGACAGATCACATGCAAGGGTTAATGAAAGAGGTGCCCTTTATTAGACTAAATTTTTACAAAATGAGGGAACGTACTGCAGCACTAAAAGGTAGACTTAGAGGTTATTATTGCTTCATTTAAATTAGGACTTAGAAAATAGAGTGTATCTGAGTGTTCAGGGGACCACAACTCTGTTGAATCCTAGCTAAGTAAAACTGGAAGGGAAAGAGTCCATAGGGTGCCCACTCACCCTCTAACTCCTGGCCACCCCCCCAGGACCACTTCTGATAAAGTTCCTGAATTATAAAGATTGGGTAACTATCCTCTGAAAAACAAGGGGACTTCACACATCTTACCATAAACAAATCAAAGATCTCAGCATTTCCTGACTTCTCCTTGAAAGCCCAAAAACAAAGGGCACAATTTCAAGATGTTAAATACTGCTTATGCTTACTACATATTCCATATGCCTGCTGTACCCAGCCAGACTGCATGTAGTATCAAGAGGGGAAACCCTATTCTTCACCATTGCTTTAACTAACCTGTACCTGGCTAGATCATAACGAGAAATCTCTTTGGCTAACTCTGGCTAACAGCCCAGATAGTTGCTCACTTGAGTTTTTACTACTTTCTACATCTATGCTATGGCTTTCCTACATCTTTTATGGGTGGTTACCATCTACACAAGATGTATGACTAACGTTTTCAGCTACTCCTGTCTCTTGAGACACCAAAGCAAGGCAGTATACTTAGCTCTCCATAGAATTGTAGGTCTGTAGTAGCTACCCAAAACAAACTCTTTCAACTTGCTCAGCCTTCTTAACAATCAGAGACTACTCATGTAGCAGACAAATTTGTACCTACTTTATTATCAGTCTACGTTTATCAATCTATGTTTACACTTTACTTTAATGAGCAAAGTAAAAAAGGATTTCGGTAATATCTTGTAAGGGAGTGTAAGGGGACTACATTAACTTTTAAGAGAAGAACTACACTTCATAGTCCACGACTACATCACCTGGTCAAGAAGGAACCTGTAACAGCCCTTGAGGCAGGAGAAATGTCTAAATACCCTTTCTTGCCTACAGTAACAGTTTTGTTGTCATATGCAAAATATTAGACAAGTTATCAAGGCTATAATTAGTACACCCCACTCTGCCAAAATTATAATATAGAGGAAGTATTAAAACTAAAAATAACTTTTAAAGGTGCAGGTGGTACAATATGTATATAAATTATATCCTAATATTACCCTTAAAACATTTCAATTGCTACAGGAACAATTTGTGTTACTGAGACAGAGGCATTTTACTGCTATTTTCAATGCCACCTCAACCTAAGCACAACAGAGATGCATTTTCTACTATCCAGAAGCCGACATGATTCAAACCATAGCAAAGCTCAAATCCACAAAGGAATTTGTTTGCTAATTGAATAATTAATTTATTTACACATATTTAATTAATACCACTTCAACATTGCACTGGAATCACAATGTGGGCAGTATATCAGAGATCTCTCTAACATACAGAGACTCACTGAGCTCTTCAACCTTCATAGCACCCATAGAACACCTCAGCTCCTCTCTAGTTAGATACAGAGACAAAAGTAAACAGCACAGCGCTCAATAAGGTGTTTCTTCACATGAACGTAGCAGGAGCGGGCTGCTGTCCTCGAGGCCACCAGGAAGTATCCTCATAAACCATGTAAAACAAGAAAAGAGGGGACAGCGCCCACTCCTAGTAAAAAAGATGTTTTAATGGTAAATGGAGTGCACATACTCTAACAAATCACTACTCACATTTCGATGAACAATAAATGGCACACATAAATCAAAAGTCGACCAGAAGGCTAAGCTTCACACCCTTACTGTAAATAGAGTCCTAAATCGAAACTGGTCTGGTGAGGAAAATCTGTATTTGAAACATGCACTGTAAAATAAAATACATAAAGAAAATGGACAGCCCCTTTATAATAATCAGTATTTTTAATAGCTTATCGAATAATCTTTTTTAGGTACAATGAACAATGTAGTTATCTGAAAAGCTGATTTGTTGACTTGACAATTACAATAATCTAAAAAAAGTTCTAAATTTAGCATCGCTTCATTCTAGAAAAATAGGTGGTCTGAGTTCCAGTAATCAGAGATACTCCAGTGTATGTACAACTGAAGATATAGTGCTGGGGCGCCTAACTAGTGAGAGAGGAGGTGGGATTAGGGGACATTTAATTTGTCAAAATGTCAAATTGAAAAATAATCTGATTTTAAAAAAATACTCTGAATATGAGGTATGTGAGAATTCCAAGAGTTTCTGTCAGCATTATGAGATAATGGGGGTGATTTACTAGCCTAAACACACACACGCACCAGGTGCGTGTGCATTTTTACACAGCAAAACGTATTTATCAACCAAACACGAGCAACGTGTCACATTTTCACGCCGTTATGGCGAGTTTTTATGTATTTACGTACGTGCGCGTCATGTAGCATGCGCCATAGGCTACACGCCGCTCTAATAGCGGCATGCAAGTCTCTAAAAGCATATTTCCACTAATGCCATATATGGAAAAATCATGCACATGATGCATATATAATGCTGCTTCACAGTTTAGACAAAAATGGTTAGCTCATGCATTTACATTCCTGCATTCATCAACGCAAGCAACACAACTTTAATTTACACAACATCACCTTGCAATTCATGCAGGGCTTTGCACAACACACCTGCTGGGTGTGTACACACTACAAAGGTGTCTAGATTCCACCAATAGATCATGCTGGGAGGGAACACACTACAGAGGTGTGTACTTGTTCGTGGCGTGTTTATAAGGTTAGTAAATCAACCCCAATATGTTAGAACTCTATAAAATATGTCAACATTTTGAGATATCTCAAAAATAGTATTCCAGAATAGTACTTTGGAGATTTTCACATATTAACTCAGCATTTTTAAATATGTCTCACATTTCTGACATACTACCTTAGAATTCTGAGATGAGGCTGTTTTACTAAAGGATTTGAAAATGTTCACACAATTGTGTGAAGATTCACTACAATTATCCATTTATATGACAAGGAAAACCAGTTTACCTTCAAATTAGATAACCGAAGTGATTATATACACAATTTATCATGCAAATATTTGCAACTCCTTCAATAAATCAGCCTAATTTTTGCAGAATTCAAGATTACATAATGAGGTTGATTTACTAGTTGCAAATGTTAACACAATAAGTAGTTTGAATATTCACTTAAAATTTGTTTTCACATAATTTGATAACATAGTTACATAGTATTTGAGGTTGAATAAAGACATTAGTCCATATGAGTCTTATCATGTGTGTCAAACCCTTTTCCCTCCCGAGAGTATACTGAGGAGAAAAAAGCGCTCAGCGCCTCGGTCCTCTCCTTGTCGTTTGTGACTAGCTTCACTATTTTTATTGTTATAACTGAAGTGAATCTTCACACAATGTGTGAAAATTATCAGCTTCTTTAGTAAATCAACCTTAATATGCCAGGAGCCTGAGAAAATGTGCCAAAAATCTAAAACAATTAGATGGAGTAGTCTGTGATATTATCTCTGTAGACTGTTATAATATGCCAGAATTCTGGTCTGTTATTTAAGAATGAACTTTTTGCTCACCTGGCCCAAAGATTCTTTCATACTGTGGCAATAGTATTATCATTTGTTAACTCCATAACCTATGTCTTGCTATATAGCTCTAATTGGCATGCTCTTGCTTTGCTGTCTATGCCTTTTCTACTGTTTTGGTGTGTCCTATAACCTTTGTGCCAAATACTATGTCTGTTGTCCTCTCTCTGTTCCATTGTTGATTCCTCTTATGATCTGTTCACTGTGTTTCCCTCTAGTAAGGTCTGGCAGGAAAGGAAGATGGCGAGTGTTTAGTCTATCGGAGGCAGACAGTCATGGAGGACACTGGGTTTAGACACTCGAGCAGCAGCTGCCTCAGTGAGTCTTATTATATAAACTGTAGCAAATTAAATTTCTGCTCATTTCATAAAATTATCTATCAATTTGCGTAAAGAAGAAATTGTACACCAAGTTCCATACAAATATGCATATGCATACCTTTAGCCCATATTTACAGTCGTGCATAGGGAAACTGCTTTTCTTTTTTTCAATTTCACTCCATCAAGCATTGCATTTCAGAATAGAACTTCTAATGTAGAATTTATGGACTAAAATTACTTTCTTTTTTGCTTAAAAGTATTAACTCTGTAGAAAGGTTTGTTACATTGCAGATGAGACCATTAATAATTTCAACTTTAACTGCAGTAATCATAGCCTATTCTGTATCTTGATAGAGCAGTCCTGATCACACACAAACTCTAAACCCAACTAATCAGGCATCTTCTTCTTTGCAGGAGGCTTTAATACTCCTGCTGCTTTCAGCAGTCAGCAAACCTCATATACTGCTTAAAGGAGAACTATGAGGTGAGTGACTTTCACTGAACCTCATAGTTCGAGCCGACGTGTGACAATGAAACTGTCACACGTCGGCTCAATAGATCGGGAAGTGAGCGAACACATACCGTCGCTTGCTCACTTCTTGATCATGTCCATGCAGAGAGCTGTGACTTTCACTCACGGCTCCCTGCACGGATACCCCCCTTCCCGCTCCGATCCTCCAACGCTGACTGGCGGAACGGACAAGGGAGGGGGTGGGTACAGCTGGCTCTGCCTCTAGATAGGCAGAGCCAGCTGTCAATCACGCAGCTGGGTGGATCTCGACAGTAATGTCAGGATCCATCCCGGCTGTGGCGGTCTCAGTATACCGCGAGCTGTAGCTCGCGATATACTGAGCTTTGGGTCACGGGAGGACTCTAGTTTATCTCCTCCTGTGACCCTTAGGAGAACTATGGGAAAAAACACTTACCCCATAGTTGTCCTTTAAAAAAGTAAGCTATATACAAGTCACTACAAGCTTATGCCTTATTGCAGTAGCTATAGAAAATGTACCTAACAACACAAATTATGATGCTGAGTGTGTGTAGGCTTCTAGTTATGCGTGTATGGTCAGTTGAACTACTACAACCCCTTACAGAGTCGTCAAACACGGTTTGGTTCTGTATTGTACGAGTAGAACATCCCTTCTCACATCTTGATTTTGTTGTTTTTTTGCTATCCTTTCCTGTTATGCTGTGCAGATACTAATCATGCAGGGTCCCAAAATGTCACTGCTTTCCAAGACTTTTTCTATCACAAATGTCACAGTTTACCAGTATTAATGGGGATATACTAATTGTAGCCTACAGTTCGTAGAAAATGTGAGGCTAGGAACCCTTTGGCTTTTCGTCTTGGGCTAGCCATAGATGATAGAGGACCTAGAACTTACCTATAGCTGCCTGGGATCTGCTGTCAGTTTGACAACCAATGTCTCAATTTGTTTATCCAAACTGCTGTGAGTATCTCAGTCAGCATTGATTGCTGTAAACAGGTGTTTAATTGTCGGGGCTTCTTAAAATGTGCATACACTATAGTTAGCTACAGCTGCCACAAGCAGCTTATCAAAGCGTATCTATTTTTTTAAACAGGGGTTGCTGAAGTAACCCTAAAAATAGAAAAAAAGTAAACTCAAGATTAGCCCCTTGTTTTCCCTAACTAGGCCTAACAAACCACTTCTTCTTCTTGTCCCCCTTATCTTTGCTTTTTTTCCATGTTAAATAAAAGTCATACTGTTAATTCTAGTCAGCATTCCTCTTTGCTGCTCATCCAGTCTCTGCCTTTCCTACGCTGTCAAGGTGCATGACCAGAGGTTCTGCATTATATGTGAGGGCATTAAGGCCCCCGCCCACATCCCCAGAGCATGGGCTGCCAGGTAGCAAGGAATAAGGTAAGTGTCCCTCTACTCTACACACAAACAACCTAGACTAAACTAGGGGCACATGAAACATGTTAATGCTGACTGCAGTTTAGCTTTACCTAAAAGGTTTTTCTGTGTTTTCATTACTTTTTTGTAGCATAATACCAGATTAAAAAAAAAAGTATGAAAGGTACAGATGGATATGGAGCTTAACTGGGTAAATACAAATGGTTGCATCACACTGGGAAGGAGAAGGACTAGGAAATCTCTGCAAACACTAAATAGACATTTAAAAGGGAAAATAACAAATGTGATGAGATAAGACTCTCTAACCTGTCTGATTGTCAGTGGTGTATGCACTTGCCCAGGTCTGGCCACATCGCTCTAGCTTGCTTGCATGCACTATCAAGCAGAGTGATATCCCACATAGTTTGGGTACAGCATCACTCACCAGAGACCCTGGAGGTGGGAGACAGTGGCACTGGACCTTTGCATCTTCTTTCAGGTAAGTAACGAATAAACACCATTTTTAGGGGTCCTCACTACTGACAATCGATGAACAAGGGCACTCACCACTGACCACTATTGAACAGGGGCACTCATTGCAGACCTGCAATGAACACCTCTGCTCACATTCTTAAATCTTATTTTCATTACAAGGAAGGTAAAAACCGAGCTAATTGTAATATACGACTCAACGCCTAACTCCACTTAGCCTGTTTTTTTTAGGATGTTATTGTCCTGGAGGGTCATATACATTTAATGTCATAGCCTGTTTAAGCCAAACTGAAGATATAACAATGTCAAATATTGCATTTGTTTGTTAAATAGCACTGCATTATTAGTTAATTACAGAGATGCTAAAAAGCAGGGGAGCCCTTCGTCCTTAGAGCCTCCCAACTAGTACAACAGAACATATCATGTTCAGTGAAAGAATGATAAGAAGGCTAGGGTATTATTGTTATCTTAGGGATGCACCAATACCTTTTTTTCCAGTACTTCCAATACTTTTCCACAAGTAGTCGCCGATACCAATTGCCAATAAAAAAACATTTCACAGGTAAAATTTTTATTGTTTTGGTAAACATATGACAAAACAGACAGCACAAGAAAAGTAAAATCAGCAAATCACATTTTACAGACAGTCAGTACAAAAAAATAAAACGAAATGTAAATGAAATACATACATAACTAACAAACTGACTAAGCAAACTAAAGCGTGGATCTCAAATACCATATGTAAGCAGAGAAAGTTGGAGCCACTAGTGGGCCAGTCTATAATACTTGAACCTGGGGGGGAGGAGGAAGGAAAGGGGGGAGGGAGAGGGGGGGGGCTCTGCCTCATTATTAAGGAGAGAGAAGGGGGATGTTCCCTAAGTACTTTCATAATGAACTAGAAGTATCTGGAAGACACTGGTTCCCACATAATGTAGAGCCTATCTACAGAGTCCTTCAATTTCCACCTCAGCCCACATCCATACTACTGCACAGAGGGTGCAGGCGGGAGCAAAGTCTCTCCGCCCGGGCCCTCCGGGGTAAGTCCCCTAGCCTCCAGCCATTCTCCCCAAATCCGATCAAACTTGCGTGCACAGTTGCGACTCATATAGGTCAGCATGTAGAGAGGGAGCATTCCATCAATCGTGTGTAACCATTGCCCCACCGTTGGGGGGAGGCTAATTTCCATCTAAGGATTAGTTCCCTGTGAGCGTAGAAAGCTACATGAAATATAAGCAGTTTCGTGGCCCTAGTCGTTTGCAGGGCATCGCCAAACCCTAGCAGGAAGATCAAGGGGTCCACCTCCAGCTGCAGACCAGTCACCGCGTTAACAGTAGATACGACTGATTCCCAATAAGGTCTGAGTCTGCAACACGAACACACCATGTGAAAGAAAGTGCCCACCTCAACAGTACAACGAGCACAGTGTGCATCAGCCGCAGGGCCGGTGCAAGGATTTTTGCCTACACAGGTGAAGGAGCATTTTTGCGCCCCCCCCCCCGTGCCCTCAGACGGCTGCCTATTAACTGCACTTGTAGTCAATTAACTCTGCCTCCCATCAATATTAATACATGTCTGTACCTCGGTACCGGCATGGATGGGAGTAGAGATCCACCGATACCATTTTTTCTAGACCGAGTACATCAACTATAAAGGACTACAAATACAGTTCCCACTCTCCCCCACATCCCCTCTGTTCCCATATCTCCCCCTCTAGGAGAGCGGTGTGGGGGCGGAGACAGCGTTGTCACAGGAGGCTGAGCTCTCCTCCCGCACCGCTCGCTCAGCCTCCTGTGATAGCGTGGATGGAAAGCGGGTACAAGCAGTCAGTGATCAGTGATCGCTGAGTGTTTGTAAATAATTGAGTACAGAGTATGGTTATCCTCAATTATGAATGAATGGGAAGTGATCTACATCACCTCCGGTTCATTCATAGTTGTGGTTATAGTAAACATACTCTGTCCTCATGTTATCAATGATCAGGATCACTCAGTATAGAGGATTCCGAAAAAGAGAAAAAGAGATTGAGGGCTCTGTGTCCTCAATCTTTTTCTATGTAAGTGACGCGCTGGGCTCAGGAATAAGCGACGCGCCGGACTCAGGAATAAGTGACGCGCTGGACTCAGGAAAACAGTGGACTTGGCAGTAAAAACAGAAGAACACTAAGGCCTTGTACACACCAAAAGCGTTGCGTTCCAGAGCGGTAGCTGCTGGAACGCACTGCGATCGCTCACGAAACTTCCCCCTGCGTTCTGGGGCGAAAGGGGCGTGGTGGTGCATTTAATTCAATGGCACCGCTTCCATGTCCTCCCCCCTGCCCGCAGTGCGATCAGATGCGTGGCAAAACTTTGCCTACATTCCGTTGCACTGCAAACACAAAAAATAGGGCTTGGTCAGATGCTCTGCTCCTGCAGAGCCTACACTGGAAGAGCAGGAAAGTGCTTCTCGCTGTCCACAGTGACAGGCCCGGAGCCTCCATGCTGCCCAGCGCCGCAGCATCTACCATCGATCCGCCCTGTATAGCCCCGCCTCCGGTCCCGCCTCGGCCTCGCCTCTTCCTCCACCTTGGGTTCCATCGCCAGGGCAAATAGCCCAGGCAACAGTGGTCAGCCCTGTCTCGTACCACGGCCCAGGCCGAAGGGTCTTGAAA